AAATCAAGTTCCTGCTAAGAAAGGAAAGGATGGCAAACAGAGTAGCTTGGTCACCATGTATGTACAGTAATAGGATGAGTCCATGCCAAGGAGAACATCAACAATACTATTAGTATGATTGTTATCCCTTGACCGTATCATTCAGATGGGATGAAAAGACAATTTTATAGTATGTTGTACAAGAGATACTCTAATGGAGTAAAACCCAAAAACTCGTGTCGAGTCAGCGACTACACCACCAATATTTCCCTCCTTCCGTCATCAACTTTACAACGTCTATCATCCATTGATCAGTCATGATGACAATATCAAGCTAGCTATCAATAGGTACAATTGTGAAAATTTTCCCTTTGCAAAAGTTCATATTCATACTTGAACCATAAAAATAACTCATCACGGAAATGATCGTTCACTTCAGGGACTACTGTTTTACTGGTCCCTAGCTCAGTCTACTGAAATGGCCAGACCGACTATTTTTACTGGCCATTTCAGCTCTCCACAATTCTTATCCACATAAATTGCCAGATTGGTTTTGTACAGTGCGGTGTAAAATTCTGGTAATAGAGTAGAGTAGAATGACCCCCAAAATGACAAGCCTTGCCATTTTGGGGCATTGAACAGCCATTGGACGTTCCTCTCTTTCAACTAGCACTCCTTCCTGACATGGGTATGCAAATCTTTGCTGGATGAGAGAATCGATGCTTAGCATAGCATGCATTTCATTATTGTACTCCAGCCGATGTTGTTGGTATCATCAAGTAATTTGATCATGGAAAATAGTATGGATACATGTACAGGCATGGATCGATAATCTGGAGTCAATGAAATTCAGCAATAATCAGTCGTACAGTACTATCTGATCTAGATCGATTAGAAACCCGATAGTATCGCGGCAAATAATAGGAACACGTATGCCGTATTGGATCGATACTCTTGAATAAAATGAATTCAGCAACAAATAGTCGCAGAGTAATGTTGCAGGACCTTTTATGATACTAACAAATATAACGTTATACGAGTCGATCTAGCTCTGAGTACGTACAGTTATCAACATTATTTTCAATGACTTGAAAACTTGAAAATAATCTTTATTACTAGGAAGATACTATCTTAATGTCAGACGATGGCTTGTATTTCATTCTTGTACTATACGAGTATGTTGTTAGCATCTTGAAAAGAGGACGCACTTGAATCATATACTCAAAAGTGATGCAGATCACTTGGGAGTAGATTAATAACTTCTGTAATAAACTTTCGTACTACACAATTCAAAGGCCTTTAATGATACGTATAACTCGCTTGGCTTCAACAATACTTCTTTCCTGTAGGCACTACAGTAACCACAATCACGGTAGTTAATATAGCGCCAATAATATCTATAGCAATAATCAGCTCCTAGATTCACTTAAATAGTATACTTACTTCACTCTTAATTAATATTCAGTCTTCCACTCATGTAATTTAGATTCACAATTTGGAACCTAACTTTAGGGACATCTCTCCTATCTATACCTTGGGCTATTGGAAAGGTATTTCTTGCGCTTGTTATCATGGATGATTATACTCTGTCAATGGATAAGTATAATTTTTAGTGAACAATTTGTTATACTGAATTAAATTAAATGTTATTAAGAAATTCGAGAAGCTTACGCAGGTCAATTTTTACAGTTGTTGGTTTCATGATACAGTATAACAGATAATATGTTGATGAGATACATTCCACTGATAGCATTGTTACTAGCATTTACTTCAGTATAAATTGTCAAAGTATAATTTATGGCACTTGTATACCTTGAAGCTTGTATAGTAGCTATTTTCTACTATAGTCGTTTACTATAAATTATAATTATTGTGTTGATAAACGTAAATGATGAAGACGCCATTTCTTTCTTTATTCAGGCTGGTTTAATTTTAGGTCCATTATTGATAGTATTGGTCAATCTTACCCTTCTCTACTCTTGCTATTTGGTAGTTGAAGGCGCGCGACATTTCGGTTAGCATTACTATATGAGCAATGGACTTCTTTCTTTCACGTTATCATATACGAATGTATTAGCAATTTTGAAGCCTAATTAGCAAATAGTAAAAGTGATATTGAATACCATTAAAAGATCGATTGTGATTCAGTGGTGTAATCAATTATTTATAAAAGATTTATCCCTTGGTGTTATCACTTGAAGAGCGATCTTTTAGTCTGTGTTCTTCAACGTAATTTAAAACTATGTACTAATTTTGATTGAACTTGATGATCCGACGGTACTTTATTCTATCATTCTGTATAGTAGAAAATACTTTTGATCTCAATTCAAATTTACATTGTTGAATTTAATAACACAGAGAGCAAGGATGGATACAAAGACTTCAATGATGTTATAAGATATTTCCTTGGTTCTACCGGTGAAAAAATCAGTTGTATAATCATTTCAATTGTTTTAATTGGTGTCTGTCTCATATATTGGATTTTGGCTAGTAATTTTTTGTATACAACGGTATACTTTATACGAGGTTCGCTGCTTTTACCAGTAACTTTACGTAGCATTAGTATTGATATTGCCCGTAAAGGTTAACATCAATAGCTGTAAAACTGTCACTTCGGCAGTGTATTTTATCCTCTACGTTAATCAAACAATTATTTCACATAAGATTGTATGGAATTTATAGAGCTCGTGTCCTCTTTACAGTTTTGTACTAGCACATTTGGGTAGTTATGTATCGTAAAAATATACCTTAATGCATTTAGATTATTTCAAACTCCATAGTATAATATAAATTAATATAAAATAAATAAATAATAATAATAACAATAATTATTATTTCCTGACTAAGATCGAATAATTAGAAATATCCATGGCAATTCTAGCAATTCTATCAACATGAATGGTAAGTATATTTTCATATTTATTGGAAATATAATTTATAATCGTATAGCTTTTGTAAATTTTAAAGTAAATACAGGTTGCTTAATGCGCTGTCTATGATACCGTGGAGTAAGCAGTCTTATATATTATAATTTATTTATGCAATGTATAATATTCTTACAATGCAACATAAAAATTGATAAGCCACAGTTAATGTAAAATAGTTATAATTGCAACCTAAATAATGATTGGACTCTTTTAATTTAATAAAACAACAGAAGTTGTATGTCCTGCGGTTGGGACTGTCAATAGTAGCAATTTTGGGAGTAATTGGACAGAAACTGATGACGATCTGTTATTTAATCAATATTGGAATCAAACACAGACCGTTCCATTATATTTAATATTAATTCTATTTCCGATATTGAATCTTCCATCGCCCGTAATTTTCAATAAATTAAGTTCGATAGGTAAGAAGTTTAACTATTTGCTATTTGATTGCAAATTATAAGACAGTATTCGATGCATAGCTAAGGCTAAAGGACAAACTGCGTACTAAGTAATACAGAGTGCACGTTTAGATTTAGATTTATTCATTTCATATCAGCTGTTAATTTTATGCAATACGTAATCGATAGCTGTTCGATCTACAATTTCACATAGATAACTTTAAGAATTAAGTTAGCAAGCAATTAATACATACTTTTAGCTATTAGTCATTATTGATTATCTTAAAATAAGTTATAGAACGATTTTTATTATATTGTAAAATATCAATTAATCTGCATCAAGTTTATAAGAGGTTGTAATAGTCAGCCCCCTTAAAAGAGGATATTTAATGATCATTACTTACGATAAATACTTTACAATAACAATGTTTCTGTAATTTGATGATTCGTAGGTATACTATCATCTATCTATATGGTAATTTTCGTTATTATCAAGAGCAGTTTCTGGACATCAACTGTTGACGCGAATTTCGAATGTAGGTTACAGATGTTTATTTAATTTTCCGACATTATTTTCTCGTATTACTGACCTCTACTATTTAAATTATATCAATAATTGAAAATCTACTATTAGTGTATTTATAATGTAAACTCAGAATGTAGTCAATACTGGATGCAATGAATATATTACTTGTATGAATTAGTTATTGTTATTTTTGCGACAACTGTATTGCGCTCTGATACTAACTGTAGCCTATTATTTTTATTTTTAGTAGCCTTACCAACTTTTCCGATCGTGACGGGTGTTGTTTCTACAGCGTTTTCTATTCATGCCAACCTCTTGCCCGTAACTCAGTGCAATCGTAATCCCCAAAATACTGTAAATAGTAGTATCTCAATTACGAGTTTACGAACTGAAATTACCGAAATAGCCACATTCGTGATTAACCTTTGCAAATTATGATTTTGATAATAGGTTAGAGATCTGACAATCGCGTATGGATGTAGCTGTGTGACGTACCTACTGGTCGGAATGTTATTTATCATTAAATTTCCGTTATCTGCACAGTGTATTCAGTCTGTAAGTGTAACGAATTTGTTCAATGTTTTGGTAGCTTTACAATTTATTGTAAATCAGAATGGCGTTTAGTTGGGAGATTTAAGTATTACATTGAAATTGTTATAGGTTTTCCTGGATAATTTTGGACCCGATGATATAATGTCGTTTCTTGGTAGATTAACTTTATTGATCCAGAATATCGTTACGTGCCCAATTATAGCATTTGCTGCTCGCATTAAAATAATGAGTACTCTCTATGGAGAGAAATATCCAAGGTGATATTCTGTACTATTGTATTAATTTATATATTTTATCTTTTCCAGTAAGGGAATGAACTTAATGATTACTTATTCAATTTTTAGTTGGAAACACGTTCTTGTATTTAATATTTTGTTAACCACGGTATGCGTTCTTGGTGCGATGTTTTTTCCTAATGTTGGAACTATAGTAAGGTTAGCATAATTTCACTATGCAATATAATACTACTATTTAGAATGCATTTTACACTTTTTAATCCTTATGATTTGTAAAATCTCATTATACACCGTACATTCACCCCTAAGAAAACATAACTTGTTGCTCGTTATGAATAGGCAGGAAGAGATGATAATGTTCTATTTTATTTCCACATAGGTATGTTGGCGCATTTGGTGGCTTATTTTATTGTTTATTTTTACCCTGCGCTGTACAATTTGCAATACGGAAGAAAGAAAATCGTTTAACTGTTATCAACGTTCTATCGTATACATACGTTATAGTATTTGGCCTTGCGAATTGCATTGCACAATTTTTTATGAATTAAGAAAACATTATATACTGGATTCTATGATCTATGTAATGGTATTTGTTAATACCTGAATGATTATACGATAGCAACGCGCGATAGAAAGTTACAGCCATTGATTATATGAACAATCTTAAATGTGATACCTGATTTTATATTTAAATTATTCATATCTTCAAGAATTTTAATCCAAGTTGCAGATGGCCCGAATGCTTGTTTCTCTATACCATAATCAAATTTTATTTGAGTACATTGTGTGTTTATATGAACAGGCGTATACAATATAACATATAACTATTCTAAAGCAAAGTGAGAATTGTGAATAGTTCCTTAAACATTATCAGTCAGAAGTAGCGTTGAATTATCTTCAACTTTTATCGGTCAAAATATACTACGTTATACTAATTACTTTCTATTATTGTACAATGTACCGGACATCTTAATGTCGTAATCTAACTTTAACGTAATGTTTTCAATTCCTATCGAATTTGAGATCGGTTATACTTAGCACGTAAGAAATAGGTATACCCTTTAAACTATAAGTTTCGATATCTCGATGCCATACGTGTCTTTTATTTTCTATGGCAAATAAATCTCTGTCCTATTAGTAGATTTATTGATATCTTGTTTAGCCTCCTTCTATCATAAAGGTAACCGATTACCTTGGTATATTTTACTATAGATATACAATTACTGATAGGTACATATCGGTTTTAACGATTAAGTAATAAAACATGTATCACTGTGACTGCTATGAGAAGTTTATGATTACCTTTATGTAACTCATCATAGGGGTAAGTAGTAAAATTATATTTTTATTATTGTTGCTTGAATAAAAAGTAGATTGCTACTGTATATTTACTGATATATTGAATCACTTTCATCTACGGTCTATTTGTATAATGTGTAACTGAGCAAGAATATGCCTACTCACTATAACACCGTACACCAAATTGAGAAAATTCCCATGTTTTCTGTTCTATGTCTACGAAAGCATTCTTACTATAGTAGAATGTCATAACTGCAATTGATAACATGCTTCTTTTTTATAGTATGCCGTTAACTTGCTTCATTTCATAACGTTAACCATAATGATGGTTTTTACAGACATGGACTATCAGATACATTGAGTAGTCCGTGTCTACAGATCTATAGAGGCAAATCTCGTTTCTCAACCTATTTCTGGAATAGCATGAATTTTGCATTAACAGCTATAGTTAAGATGGATACTGGATTACTTGATACTTGATAGTCTCTACAATGTACTGTTTACATTGGTTTATAGGATATCAAAGTACAGTATTCTATGGAGCGGATTCTATAGTACAGATTGCCTACGTCATATGATCGTATACCTACTGCAATGCCGCTTACTGCGATTTTTTATTGAAACTTTATCTTATTGGCCGAATGCATTTATTAAATATACACCAGCATAATTGGGCTTCCTGAACAGGTTTGACCTTATTTGCAGTTTTCAATAGTATCAAAGTCAAGCTGTGCTTGTTTTGAGAGTAGTATCTAATCAAGCTCTACGACACTATGATTTCTCTTGAACTTCTCTTAGAAGTCTGCGGTTGACCCCTAGCTATTTACCTGGTATTGACTTTGGATTTCGGATTGGATGAGAAGAAAGTGGCAAAATACTGCTCGTTTTAGGCTGAGATCATCGACAGTAAGCTTAATGCAGCACTACGAATGTGATCAAGATACAGACGAATAGCGTTCACTATCAGCTAGACGATACCAAATTCACATAGAGCCGAAGGGTAGAATCGCATGGATGATTTTATGATATACAATGACCATTAGTTCCATTTTCAAGTTGATGATATAATATAGTGAACTTCTCTAATTCCCTACATCGAACACGATACATTCATTCTCAATCTTTGATCATTAGAGTCGAAAATGATGCAAACATCGTTAATCGGTACTGTTTCACAAGTGCTGTGCATAGTATATAGTACAGCACAGGTACGAAGTCGCTGATTCAATCTTCAATAAAATATGGATGTTGATGTCAGTAGGGGGTAAATGACAAACGGATCTAATAATGGATCCTAATTTTACTCTATCCAAGACATTATTTACTAGCTTAATACTACTAACAAGACTATACTGTTTCCTACAGTATATTACTCTTTGAATGGAGATTTGATTGAACTATGCCGTGAGTGCATCAACTAAGAAGAATCCCTGCAGGGATTCATTCATCCAGTCTGTCGATGATTATGCATACCAATGATCCCAATACTGGATCTTGATGATAGCAAGTACATACTATATAATCAGACTGAGATGCTATGCAATCTTCGATCATACTAATTGAACATAATTCATGCCATCCTTGCCATAAGCTGTGTAGATAATGCATAAATAGTGTAAAATAAACAATAATCTAGGCATCAAAAGTTGAAATCATCCACTTGCGTCTATCCATCTATTTCTATTCTAGAATACCTTGCAGATTGAAGATATAATGGGTGACTTTTCTATGAAAGAATTTCAAGCTGATCAAGTTTCTATCAAGAAAGGAAAGGACGGCAAACAGAGTAGTTTGGTTACCATGTAAGTACATTAATATGAGGAGACGATTCCAAGAAGAATATTGACAACACGATTACTATCCCTCGATGATGCAGCAAGGCTTCTATAAGTAGACAATTTTATAGCATGTTATACAAGAGATTCTCCAATAGAATAAAACACAGAAACCAGCTGTCCAGCCAGGGACTACACCATTAAAATTTCTCTCCTTCACCCGATCAATTTCACAACTTTCCATCCAAATCTAACGCGTATCATCAATTTATCAGTCATGATTACAATAACCAGCTGTGAATAGGTACAATTATGACAGTTTTCTCATTACTATACGGGTACATAGTTCAATTTTATGCTTGAACGAAAAGTAACTCATCATTGCTACGGGTATACTAAAGGGAAAGAGAGAGCATCTGGAAATGGTCATTCAGTATACTAAAAACGGGCAGTACTGACCATTTTTCTAGTTCATTCCAGCTATATTCTCTACGATTCTCATCCGGATAAGCTGGCAGAATGATTTTATACAATGCGGTATAAGGTTCGAGAGGTAGAGTAGAGTAGAATGACTAGAAACAGGACAAGCCTCCACATAGTAAGGGCATTGAACGGCCGCTTGATGCTCCTCTCTTTCAGTTAGTACTAGTCCCTGTCCAGGACATGGGTACACTCCATTTTTGCTGGACAGGAGAATCGATATTTAGAATTACAGTACATGTACGTGTATTTCATTATTGTGCTGCATCCTGATGTTATTCTTTAAGTGATTAATCGTGGATAATAATATGAACACTTATACCGTAATAAATCGATAATGTTAGATGAATAAATTCAGCAATAAACAATCGTACAGTACTATTTAGCAGGACCTTCCATGATACTAACAAGCATAACCTTATAGATCTAGCTATTGCTGTGTACAGTTATGAAAGTCTTTAAAATGTCATCATTATTGGTATGGGTATACTATATTAATGTTGGACGATATCACAATTGCTTGTATTTCATTATTCTACCGTACGTTGTGACCATAGTTTGATAATTGCGTACTTAGAATCATACAACTGTAGGTAATCCAATTCGATTAGAAACCCGATAGTATCATAGCAAACAATATGGGCACGTATACAGCAATAGATCAATAATCTTGATTAAAACGAATGCAGTAATAGCAGTATAGTAATATTACAGGACCTTTTATGATACTAACAAACATAACGTGATAGATCTAGCTATGAGTGCGTACAGTTGTCAACAATTCTTTAATGATTTCAAAATTTCAAAATGATCTTTATTACTAGTAGTATACCATATTAATGTCGGACGATATTAGCAATTACTTTTATTTCATTATTATACTAGAGTAGTTAGTATCTTAATTGAAAGGTTGTGTACTTGGATTATGTACTTCAGATCATCCAGGTCACTTGAAAATAAGATAGTATAATAGTAAATAATATAGACACATTGTAATAGAGACACATTCGGCGTATCGTATAATCCTTAATAACTTCTGTAATAAACTTTCGTAGTACACTATTCAAAGATTAATGATACTTAATACTCTTTCTAACTCCAATAATACTTCTTCCCTATTCACTACGGTAGCCAATCACAGTAGTTAATATAGCGCCAATAATATCTATCGCAATAACCAGCACTTAGATTCACTTGAATAGTATTCTTACTTCACTCCTAATATCCATTCTCACGCTCATGTAATTTATTGAATTAGATTCACAATTTGGAATATAACTTTAGGAACATCTCTCCTATCTATACCTTGGGCTATTGGAAAGGTATTTCTTGCGCTTGTTATCATGGGTGATTATACTCAGCCAATGGATAAGTATTATCTTTAGCAGACAATTTCTTATACTGAATTTTATAAATTAAATGTTACTAAGAAATTAGAGAAGCTTACCCTGGAGTATTTTTACATTTGCTAATTTCACGATACAACATAAGAGATAATATTTAAATGAGATATATTTTACTGATAACATTGTTACTTATAATTACTTCAGTATAAATTAGACAAGCATAATATATAATTGATGATACTTGTATATCTTGAAGCTTGCTTAGAGTCTATTTTCTGCTATTCTTGTTTATTATAAATTATTATATCCATAAAAGTAAACGACAAATATGCCATTTTCTTTTCAGGCTGGTTTAATTTCAGGTCCATTATTGGTAATATGGGTTAATCTCACCTTTCTCTACTCTTGCTATTTGGTAGTCGAAAGTGCGCGGCATTACGGTTAGTGTTACTATATAGGTAATGTACTTCTTTCACGTTATGCTATACGAATGTATTAGCACTCTTGAAACCTAATTATTAAATATAAGGTGTAATATTGAATACTACTGACAGATACATTGCGATTTAGTGGTACAATCAATTATTTACTTCATTATTTATTAAAATCTATCCTTTGGTGTTACCACTTGAACAGCGATCTTTTAAT